AATAATAATAATAATAATAATAATAATAATAATAATAATTTTGTCTTTCAGAATCAAATGCAATCAACCCATTCATCAGAGTGTCATCCTTTCCTGTCTCGTTTCTTTTAGTTTCTAAACTTCTTTTCCTAACAAAATTTATGTTAAAAATATATGTATTTAACAAAAATATAAGTTTTAGTAGAAATATGTGATTCGTTACTAAAAAAAGAAATTAGAAATATGTGATTAAAATTAATTTAGAGATATCAATTTAGTAATAAAAGATTAGGGTCGAATCATGAAGTAATAAATTCTAATATCAGTGTCCCTATCGGGAAAAAAGTAATCAGTATGATACCTATTGTATTCGGTATTTCTTTCTTTCTTTTTTTTTTTTTTTTGTGGACATCTCTATTATTTGATTAAGAGCCTTGAATATAAGTTATAGGGTCGATAATAAGAGTTTCTTTACTTAAAATATTTTTTTTTCAAAACCTATATTAAAAACCTCTAAATAATTTTGTTAACGAAGACTAAGTAATGGCAGCAGCCACCAGATTTGAGAATTAAGAGTAGCATACTAACACGAAGAAGAGTGAAGGTAGAAACCTATAAAAAAAAGAGAAAATAGCATAAAATTCAAAGATATGGAACAGCATAGTGAAGAAGGGGGTCCCGTTTGGTGAACTAAGCAACAAAAGCATTGACTTATCTATAAAAAAAGATTATTTGGCAGCAACAAAGAAAGCAGCAGCATCAAATTGTAAAGGTTTATGGCAGTTGGTAAGAAAGGGATTCTCCATCTGCTCATATAAAGAATTTGTTGATTACACTTTCAGATTTGCCCCCACTCGCTAAATTTTTCATAATTCATCTAAATTCTTTATAAATATAATTAAGTCTATTCAATTTGATTAGATTGAATGACTATTAACCAATTTCAGTTTCAATTAGTCAGTTTATAGATAAATATACATCTAGTTTTACTATATTACTCTTTTACTTTCTCTTTTTATTCAATTATTTTAATTAAGTTCTGCTATTATTAAAAAAGTTCAATTTCATCTATTAATTTTTCTAAAAACAATCTAATATGAAACTGAAAAAAAGCAATTTAACATGATCGTTTTTGTCTAATAAAGACCAATGTTATCTCTTTATGCACATGACACTATTAAAAAAAATGATAATATAAGTATTGTTGTTAATCTTAATTCGACAAAAATATCATGTTACATATTTTTTAAAATTAATCGATTAAATTGAACCTTTTAATAATAGATGAATTTAATTAAATAAAATAATAGAACAAAAGAGTAATTTAAAAAATAATATATTTATATTTATTTATCTACTTTTTTCTGAATTATTTATCTATTTATCTATAAACTATCCTGATTGAAGCCGGAAAATTTTATTAGTCATTGAATCTAGTCAAATTTATTAGACTTAATTAAATTTGGCAAGAATTAAATTGTTCATGCCAGTTAAAAAATATTAAATTGATCATATTAATGGTATTTATTACATTAATATTAATGTATCACTTAATATTATTAATGTATTATTTATAAAAATAACTATTTTTATTTAAATAGTACTGTATTAGATATTATACTTATTAGTTAAAAAATATATTATATTTATTAAATGTAATATAACTTTTAAATTTAATAACTAATTACAAAATTTATTAATATATGATTTTTTAATCATAATTTCTATCTTTCTCTATATATATATTGAGAGGACTTAATTTTAGATTTAAAAATAAGTTTCGATAAAATTATTTTACTTAATAATTATTTATATTAAATTTTAATGATCTAGCTATTAAATTAAATTTTTTTAATAAATAAATTAAATTAGATTAAATTAAATTTTTTTTTTTATAAAATTTAAATATTATTTAATATTTTATTTCATTAATTTAAATCCACATATATTTATAAACCTAACTCTTGACATGTAAACAAATTTATTACCTTAATTATTCATACCCCTGGTGTCGTGTTGGTGCAGCAGAGTTTCGTTTTTTTGTCTAATGTATCTAAAAGACAATATGATTGTGTGTGTTTTTCTTTGGGTTCATAATACGCTGTTGACTTAGAAATAGTTGGATTCAGGAGTTAGCAGAAAAAAGTCAAAAACAATGTGACATGCAGGTTCAGAAAATGAGAAAAGCAGTTAGCAGGAGGAAGAGTAGAGTAATTAGTAATGAATGTTAGGAAGAAGAGAAGCAGAAAATTAAAGATATTGACCTATGGGGAGGTTCACTTCACACATCCAAAGTTGGGATAATCTACAGAGAGTTAAGTTAGGTGGGTAGGTGCTCTGTTTAAAAGATTTCTCAGCAAATTGCGGGTCTCCACAATTTTGGCTACCATGTCATGATATCACATTATTTGCCAAACATTGTTTCAATATTTCCTCTACTAAAACTATAAATTTAACTATATACATATATATAGAGGAGGGTTCAAACGACACTGGTGTAACTTTTTGACCCACGTACAGATGGGCCAGTGATACACTATTCCTAATTTATTTGCATATGTTGGCCAATAATGTTCCTTTTTTGACTATGTTGGGCCACAAAAGTGTTGGTTGTTATGTATGCATATTGATGTTATGAAATTTAAATGTTTGTATTAATGAAATATGTTTGTATTATTTTTTAAATAAGTAATTTTATATAATTGCAAATATGTATTACAATAGGTTAATATGAAAATGTGTGTGTTTTGAATTTTTATAGGAGTTGGCTGATATGGATGAGTATTTTGAAGTAGTTGTCCATCATGGGGGGAAGTTTGTAAATAAAGGGAAGTTAGAGTATGTGGGTCATGATTCGACATGGTCTTGTGACACTGATAGATGGTCTTACTTTGAAATATTGGGTATTTTAAAGGAAATGGGATATATTATAGTGGATAAGCTGTGGTATTTTGTGGGAGGGGCAGATTTTGAGAATGGGCTGAAATTGTTGTCTGATGATAATGGAGCCATTGAAATGATCAGGATAGCAAGAAAGTTTGGAAATGTTACATTATATGTCGAACATCCAACATCTCAACCTGAAATTATACAAAGTTTACCTTCAACTGTTGTTGTAAGAAATGTTGGTCCTGTTCCTACTAATAGTGGGCTTGAAAATGATGGGCTTGTGCCTGATGACAGTGGACTTGGGCCTTTTGTTGATGATGAGAGTGTGGCAGGGGGTGGTGTTGCTGATGAGAGTGTGCTACAGGGTCGTGTTGCTAATGATAGTGTGGCAGAGGTTGGTGATACTAATGAGTGTCGGATTAGGGCTGAGAGTGTGCCAAATGGTGGTGTTGTTGATGAGTGTGGTGCTAGGGTTGAGACTTTGCCTGAGACTTTTGTTTCTGACAAACAAACTGAAGATAGTTATTGCAGTTATCCTTCAGTACATTTGGGTGATACTGATGAAGAAGAAATTTCAGACATTGAATTATTTGATGTACCTGTTAAAGGTACACCTAATTCTTCAGTTGATAGGTTTGAAGGACCTTTGGAAGTAAGACATGTTAGTCATAGTGGTGAGTTAGATATGTTGAATCATTTTGAAATACCTGTCCCTAAACCAGTACCTGAACAACAACCCAGTTGTAGCAGTAAGAAGAGAGGTAGGCCTAAGAAGACTATTGAGCCTACTATAGATCGTACAAATGACGATACTGATGCGTTTGGTAATGATGATTCAAATGAGGATTTAGATGATGATTCAGATGATGACTTGTTCGAAGGTGAGAACTATGGAGTAGATAAAAAAACCCATTCCATTGGTAGGGGTATTTCAGATGAAGAATATGAATCGGAAGAATTAGTAAGTGGCCCAGATGACACAAGTGATGAAGAATATACAGTTGGTTCAATTAAGTATCCATGTTTTAATATGCCTAGCAATATGCAAGATTATAAGTGGGAACTGGGCTTGTATTTTCTGAGTAGAGAACAGTTTAAAGATGCAATTACAACATATGTTGTTCATTCGGGGAGAAAATTAAAATTTTCAAAAAATGATAAAAGAAGGATAAAGGTGATATGCAAAGAAGGATGTACATGGGAAGCATATTGTGCCAAAGTACCTTATGAATAAAGTTGGCAACTAAGAAAGATTGTTGATACACATACATGCAGTAGGGACCATAAGGTGACTTTGTTGAATTGTAAGTGGTTAAGTGAGAAACTTAAAACTTCTATCAAGGAGAATCCAAATATACAATTGAAAGATATTAGATATAGAGTGCAGAGAAAATGGAATGCTACCATCTCTAAGTCGATGGAATTTAGGGCTAGGAAATCTGCAAAGAGTTATGTTGAAGGGTCTTTCAAAGAACAATTCAAGAGGATCTATGACTACAGTCATGAGCTAATCAAATCTAATCCAGGTTCAACAGTGAAGGTGAAGGTTGATGACAATGAAGATTGTGAGAATAATGCGGGGAATAATGTTGAAGGGCCTAGTAGAGTACTTCCAAGCTTTCAAAGAATTTATATCTGTTTTCAAGGTTGCAAAGAAAGTTTCTTAAAGTGTAGACCCATAATAGGGTTAGATGGATGTTTTCTAAAGGGTTATTATGGTGGCCAAATATTGGCAGCAGTTGGAAGAGATCCAAATGAGCAAATGCTGCCAATATGTTTTGGAATTGTTGAAGGCGAGACTAGAGACTCATGGGAGTGGTTTTTACACCTACTAATTTCTGATCTTGGAGGATTTTCAGCTTGTGTCAATTACACATTTATTTCTGATCAACAAAAGGTAAATTTTAATTTTTTTTACTATTTTATTTGAGAATTAATATATTGATTGATTA